GCCGAGCCAGCGGCATTCAAAATGAGGATGTGAAGCTGATATGATTTTGAGAAACACCTCTGTGTTTTCTTCTGAATATTTTTTTTTTGTAGCCAGACAGTAGTGACATTCCATTAAACTAATTTCTCAGACTTGAAAAATTAGATTATATATTTTTTCCAGAAGGGTGGTTTTGGTCTGTTAGTTAAGATTATGTAAATGGAGGGTGATTGGGAAGTCATCTGTCACACAGTATCGATAATGGGAAAGTTGTGCTTCTCTGAATTCATTTTAGTCCATATTTTTCCATGCTAGTTTTACAGAAATCTGACTAAACTCTGTATTAAATATGTGTCTTTTAAAATAACTGGAAAAATGTTTTTTATCTTGAACGTCATTGCTTCTGATTAGAGAAATGTATGTGATTATACATGATAATCTTGGCTTTGTGTCGCCAAAAAAAGATATAATTCTTTTTACAGATAAAATATGTGTCAAACTAAATCTTTGTACTTTAAGGGAAAGTACAAAGTCGTGTAACAGAAGTAAATCTCTTTGTCTAAACATGTAGGAGATACATAAATCCACTGATGTTTTTATACTTAAACTTCAAGCCTTTGGCTTTGGTGCTGCTGTGAGGTGCATCTGGGATCCAGGCTGCCATAATAATCAGCAGGGAATGTTGTGGGAATTCCCCCTATCTGTTACTTTGGAATGTCTTATTGGTCTGGCATAATATTTGGCCTTGTAAAAAGAGAATGTTCAAAGAAAGAAAGAGTGAGAATGAAAAGGCTTTAAGTCAAAGCCAAGGACAGATGTTGTACTTTGCCAGAGAATATAGTCTAAATCTTTTCAAAGCTGTTTGTTCGTCCTCTTTCATTTTTTATTAATCTCTCAGACTTTTGATCGTTTGCATAGGACATGGACAAGGAAAAAACATACATTTTTAAACAGCATTTTGTATAGCCTACCTATGTATTCATTCCAGTCAAATTTCCATTTGCGTCACAGTGATACATTTTCAGTCCAGATGGTGAATGAGCAGGGAGAGCAGTTCATACTGACAGTAAGTTATTAATAATAAACACTTTAAGCAAAGATCAGCCGTCCATGTGTCATGGTACATGTGATTATTCATGGATAAGTCCGTGTCAGAGTAAGAGAAATCTGTTTTTCCTCTATACTGCAACTGAGCTGGATGTTAATGAGTCAAAGTAAATCAATATAGCCTATAAAGAGGGTTGTAGCAATATAGATGATCAGAAATTATATTTACATAAATATGTTTTCAATATGTTTTAGTTGGTTTTTAATTTGCTCATATGTTTATGGCCATTTGGTAAATTAATTTCCATCTAAATATATTTATACTGTCCCAAATATAATTAAAAAAAAGAACATTTTGTATTTACCCAAAATTCTTTAAAAAAATTATAGCATTTGAAAGATTTAAGCAGAATACATTTTTAATTACAAACATGTTTCCTTGCTTGAGCAATGATATATACTGTATAGTGTCAGTACTACAATAAACTACTATACTTAATGTAATGCTATGTGGGAATATTTGTGGGTCCTGATAATGCCAAATGTCTGATGTTACCAGTAAAAAGTGGCCAACATTATCCAGTCAGTAACAGAGTGCATCAGTGCAAGCATATTCGTCTAAAACAATTCTGTATTTTCAGCTTCAGAATCATGTTGTTCTGGTGTCACCATTGTCCAAACCTATTCATTTAAATCCACAATGTAATATCAAAGTTAGCATTTTAATCAACAGTACATTTTTTGTTAACCTTTTATCATTTGTCTTGGAGTATCGCAATAATATCATATCGTGAGTTCAGTATCGAATATGATATGTATCGAATCGTGACATGAGGATATCGTTACAACCCTAATATATATATATATATATATATATATATATATATATATATATATACGCCAGACATAATATGAGCTTACATTTTTACACTTGGTGTGGCAAACATAACAAAATCTGATCTGAATACCTAGCAGAGAAAACTTTGGCAGTAACAAACGAGTAATAAGAGGTGTCCACATCCTTGGCTGCTGTAGAAAGATCTTTCCTGCAGTATTGATCCTATTAGTTAATGTTTTCGTCAAATGAGCCTGCTGCTGACGCATCAGATCTTGAAAGTCAAAGCAAAGCTTTGCAGTGAAACAAATCAGTCTTTAGGGAGATAGCAATGACCCCAAAATTGAGAAAACAGTGTTAAAAGTCGAACAAGAATCTGACTTACAACAACAGTGTGACTTTCATCACATGTGCAATAAAGAATAGCCAGACTGAAAAGGAAGCTGCCATTCTAGACGTCATCAAGTGTGCATGAATCAGTTCATTCAAACTTTGTTGTATGTTTCTGGTTTAATGACAGACCCCTTTCACAAACAAATACGCCCTCATTATTTTTTGCCGAGACAAACTAGGGGGCTTTCCCTGAAAATTCTTCAACACGGTCTAACAAACAAAGGTCTGCTTATCTAGCCCTGCCCTGGGCCTGTGCCGGTGTCCAGAGGAAGTCCACAACAGTCTCCCATCACCCACAGCCCATACAATCCCTGCTTTTATCAGGAAACACTGAACAAGCCAACGGACAAGTCCCTGTTTGGTCTTCGGAGTGCTGCCATGTGGTGGGACTGAGGAAGTTAATAATTAAAACCAGTCACTAAACATCAGCAACTGCTCTTTCACTAGGTCTGACCACTTCCTCTGTGATGATTACCATGAGGTTTTCCTCAAATATGCCATAAAATCAACAAGAGTTTTGAGGCATTTAGTCTATGCCTTTAGCTCTTTTACACCAGTAGTTCTAGGCCTTAGAAATCTTGCAATATGTCTAAAATAATTTGAATTAGTTAAATTAACATAATCTTAATCCAAATTCCTAAAATAACTCTAAAAATAAATATACAACGATTTTTTTTATCTTGGGTATTTTTTTTTTTTCAACAGAATTACCAGGGGCACATATTCGAAAATCATCTTAGACATAGTCAAAAGAGAAGAGAACCACTATGCTCCAAAAGCTGCATTTAATATTTACAGTCTTTGTTTTAGGAAAAAAGACCAAAATATTGATGACTCATCCTGCACTACACAGATTTGGTCCAATCAAATGCTCTCTAGCATGAGAATAGCCCCCCCACTTACAGAACTTGCAACAGGAAATAGAAAATCATGCATTAAAAGTCATTATTTATTCAATCGCATGTTATTCCAAACCTGACTTTGTTCTGGTATTTTGAAGAATGATTCAACTGTTGTCAGTGGAGTTCAAAACACCATACAACATTTGTAGCCTATGGGAAAAAAGGGAATTCATACAGGTTTGGAAAAACATGAGGACAGCATTTTTCATGTTTTGGCTGAACTGTCCCTTTAATAGTTTTGACGTAACTTAAGCCTGTTAGCTACTAAAAATAAGGGATGAGCCATTCGTTCACAGCAGTGTTTGTATAAGGGTCTCTCAGTTTATTTACACTGTAGAGTATATGAGTGATATCACCTGGCCAGCAGTGTCACAGTTAGTGTTACTCAGCAGTGACTTTCAGCACAGCCCACCAGATGAACTCCACCAAGGAGGGGGCAGGGCGCAGTGGGATTGGGCCAAGGAAATGGAGGAAGCTGTCAATAGGAAACGAAACTCCTGTCTGACTCCATTTTTTTTTTTTGTTGTGGTTCCCGAATGTGATTCACTGGTTCTAAGACTACCTCTGGAAATACTGGCAAGTGGGTGACACTAGATTACTTAGTCAGAGTGAGAAATGCGCCCCAGCTTTTTACTGTTACTTTTTACTCACACAGGCTTACTCAAAACATCAAACAACTACAACGTCAGGTTATGAGCGCTGTGGGATGTTTCATTTCATACTTTTGTCACAGTTAACAAATTAGGAGAATTGTCAATGATTAACAAATAGTCTACTTGTTTAACCTTTCTCTTACGCTCACCACGGCTGCATTTATTTGATCACACAGTAATATTGTAAAATATAATTACAAATTAAAATAACTATTTTCTATTTTAATGTATTTTAAAATGTAATTATTCCTCTGATGGTAATGCTGAATTTGTTAGCATAGTCTTCAGTGTCACACAATCCTTTGGAAATCATTCTAATTTGCTGATTTGGTCAAAAACAGTTCTTATTGTCAATGTTGAAAACAGTTATGCTGCTTAATGCATTTTTTTCAGGATTATTTGATTTATAGAAAGTTCAAAAGAGTATTTCATTGAAATATCATTTTATAAATAAAGTCAATTGTCAATGATCAATTTAACCCATCCTTGCTGAATAAAACTATTAATTTAATTCATTAATTTATTTTTGGTATTTTCATGCCATAACATGGACATCCACTTGAAACATTGTGCATTTAATTGTGATTCAGAAAATATGTTAATCTGACATGATTAAAGTCAATGAAAAATGCATCAATGTAGGTCTCAATGAATAATGCAGAGAAAAAGAATACTTTGATATGATAATAATAGGTCAAAATGTCAATTCAGGTCTGAATCTGTAATGTTTTGTCTTATATTTAGTAGCAAAAAAATATATATGTTTAGTTTTTAGCAAATTTCAACAAAAAAATTAGAGAGGTGTTAACTTTACTAGAATAAATTACTTTAAAATCTGTACTGTAGTTTTTTTTTTCTTATTGTAATAATACTTCATCTAAAAATGAAAATTGTTTTATTCATGTCATTCCAAACGTATACGATTTTCTTTCTGTGGAACAAAATCTAGTTTTAATTAAATATTTCTATTCAAGTACAGTTAATATTGACTGTGATTATTAATATTCAAAAATGCCCCAAAAAGCCAGTTCTTTTCAACAAATGATTCACAATTCTAAACGAACTCATTACCAAATCTTGTGTTCTTAAAATGACACAAGAGCAAATAAATTATAAAATATCCCTTTAAAACAGCATATTGTGAAGTTAAAGGTCTTCGTTAAAGGATTTTCTCATGATTGACAAGGTTACCTCAGTTCCAGTTTGAGTAGGCCTTGGCTGATTCAGTGCTCCTCCAAATCTTTCAGTTGGCTGACATCATTACCTGAAGCACATAGTATGTTAGTTGAGTAACACTGGAGCCCTCAAGTTCACTGAGTACAGATAAAAAGTTAACCTCAGAGTTGAATTCCAGATTGTTTTGTTAATGAGTGCTACTAACTCCTTGTGCATCAAAATCACATGTTGAGAGATGCAATTGAAGGTGTGAGTTTGTGCAATTTACATTGTAGAACAAAACACACAAGAAGTATCATCAAGTTGTATTTACCAAAGACCCTATTTTACTCAAAATTGGAAAACAAGAAGTTTTTTTTTTTTTTTTTTTTTTACATCATCCCTGCTGCACTCGTCCGAAATCGCATACTGTCTGAGTAGGACTACATTTGAATATGACCTTTATAAAAGTATTCTATATAGTATGAATGTGTGTACTATGAATGAAATGGAGGTTGGTACACAGCCACTCAAAGCAGCATAGCAACTACATAGCAACACCCTAGCAACCACCCAAAACACCATTGTAAAACTCTGGTAATCATTTGGTGACAAACACCACTTTTTCTCCAGAAAAGCAAAAGTTTCAGTTCTACTAGTTGATTTATGGAAGAAAGAGAGTTCTCCATCAATATGAAAACACAGTTTATGCATGGTTTTACCCTCTCAAAGGTCTTACCTTTTCATCTGTCTCCACCGTTTGTATTTTCTTCTTCTTCTTCTTTTGGTTTTATGGTGGTTTGCGAACCAACTTTAAAGGTGCATACCGCCACCTATTGTGATGGAGTGTGAAAAGAATGAACTAAATTCTCCTAAATCCTATTATATAACCCACTATTCTTAATAAACCTCATGATTGCTTTCATTTGTTTGAATTTGTACCATCAGTTCTGTCTCCTCTACTGAACATACTTCACATAAACCTGTGTTATGTCTCCCTATGTGTAAAGTATGATTTAGAGATGAATGTCCTGTTCTTAAATGTGTGAAAATAACTTGTTCTCTTCTACTTAAGTTTTGGATTATATTGCCTCGCTTTATGTTTTTTTTTTTTTACCTTATAATAATGCCGACCTATATGACATGAGTCCCAAACTGTCTGCCATTTCTTATTGCACGCTTCTAAAATTAAATGTTTTCCTTCTGCTCGAATGAAATGTTTATATTTGGTTCCTCCATTTTTAATGATTCATGGCTATTTTGTCTGCTTACCTTGAATACCCACGTGTGCTGGAACCCACATGAATCGAATTATTATTTCCACCTGTCGTAAACTGTATAGCCTGATCAGGATTTCTGTTAAAATATCAGTTCTCTTTTGTTTGTATTTTCTGCTTGTCAGCCCTTTTTATCATACATCTCCAGACATGTCCAGGCATGCTAGAACTTGTTGACCTGTGCACGTCTATCATTTATTTCCAGCTTCCTCACAAATGTGCCTATGTTTCGCATGACTAACAACAAAAAGATTAGAGGGGTAAATAATTTGGGGTGGACCATGTGTGGAAACATTTTCCTGATTATGAACAACAATTTTTCCATTAGGTATAAAGTATTTGTCAGTGATATTCTTTGAGATAATTTTCACAAGAGTTATGGAGTTGTTCTTTCTGAAATATCCTACTGAAATTTCTGGAATTGGTTTAGTGAGAGAGAGAATCAGCACAGAGGTACGTTTGATGAGCTGCTTTTGTCTGAATGTGACTGCAGCCCTCCTTTTCCTCTTGATTGCAGTGGAAACAGATGGTTCTGCCTGATACAGCCCACTGGCAACCAGAGATCAGCACCTTTTCTCTCTCAAATACAAAGAATCAGTCCATTTGCAGCTCCATGTCACTATTGGAAATACAAAAATAACACAGCAAAACATTTACCAAACAAAAAATGTATGTGGTAAAATAAATTTGATTACCCATGACTACGGACATTGGCCATAACAGTTGATAAGCCAATCAGGCTACAGTGGACAGTTGAAATAAAAGGCTTTCCATGGCTACAAGCAAGTTCGTGGCAGATATCCAGGTTATTCAAAGCACTGTGTGAATGATTGCCTGGCTTGCGGCCCATGTAGCCCATTTTGACAATAATTTACGGGATTGGTCTTTGCTTAGAGATGCACTCGCAACAGTGAGCGTGGACCACTTAGTAACAACATTGTGGAGAGACTCCCTCATTGGAATACGACAATAATCATATTTTATTGAGCTCCTAAACAGGTAAGGAATTAGAATAACCCATCACTGATTCGTGACGATACTGAATTCGACACTTAAACATTTTGGTCATTTTTTGTTTTAACAGATGGGTTTGCTTTGGCAGTCATTATATCACTTAAAATTGACTTTACTGTTTTTATGTTATGGGTCCCAGAGACACTAATGATGTAAAGGTAAAAATAATATTAGTAATTTTGGAAATTTACCAATTGTTTTCTCTTTAAATTATTTTAAATTTGTCCTGTAAACTATTTAAATTACTTTTACAGGCGTGTTTGAAGCTTTAACCTTCAACGAAACGACGTTGTTATATAGTATAGTGGCAATTGTTTCCATTTGGTGACAAACTAAAAAGTTATATAATTAATAAAATTGATTTTTAATAAGCCTGCCGGGGTTTCTGAGACACATACTATATTTGTAATATGTTATATGTAAGCCGTGATAAATATTATTTATTTATACATTTTGAAAAAAAAAATGAAATGTCAGGAAGTATCACACATATACGTAAATATATTTGTACTCAATATATTGCAACACAATTGAGACAATGCATGTGCTCCTCTGAGTCACTTTGAAGTTCATGAACATCTCTGACTCAAGAGTGATTTCACCTTGTTCATTCTTGCTGCTCATGATGCGGAAGCTGACGGTAAGTATGTGCTCATTAAATGATTTTATCTGAGTTAGGATGTAGGGCTTGCTGTTCTTTTCTAGTGATTCATTTGTACTCTCTCTTCTATCCATACCTGTACTTTCACGTTTCATGTACTCTCATTACTTGCTGTAACTACATGGGTGTAGAGCAGTAAACTGTGGTGTGTGTGTGTGTGTATATGTTTTGGCACACAGATTATTATCACTCAAGAGTGGTGTGGAGGCAAAGACTGTGGATGGGAAAAGGCAGAAGAGCAGTGAACCGAACCTGAGGTGTGGTACACCGTTGACTCAGTCTGAGGACTCTAACAAAATTTCACTGTACAGACAGGTGGGAACTTCCCTGTGCTGATCAAAAAGTGTTTCATACATTAAAAAGCACCTCATTCTCTTAAATAAGCTCTTTGGGTTGGCTTCCATGAAACACCTCAAACCTGCAATAGTAAGTTTTCAGTTGTTATCATCATCTGCAGTTGATCTAGATCTGGACTCAAGAAGACGTCTCTCAAAAACCATTCCTTCTGGGCGAGTCTGGGCGAATAAAACATTAACAATTGAAATTGATATCCTCTTGATTACAAAATATTACTATAAGAATAGACCTCAGCAAAAGAGATTCATAAAAATGAATTAATGTGTTTTTTTTTAATTGGCATCTCAAGGGCCTTTTTTTCAGTCATGAAATGTGTCATTTTATTAGACATATATAACATTCACACACACACACACACACACACACACACACACACACACACACACACACACACACACACACACACACACACACACACACACACACACACACACACAAAAAGGTCCAAGTGCAAAAACATTAAAATTTAGGACTTTGGCATGACTGTTTTACAGTTTGAGCTTTTGATTCATAGATCTACTTTAGAAACACGTTTGGTTAAATTCCAGCTGACACAACATTGTTTTTCTTATGTTGAAATCGCTACTCATCATATATTGTCACTCTGAATTGGCTTTATGCACAGCTGCACTACTTCCTGAACTTAAGCCAGCTCCTTGTTTCCTGTCTTGTTTCCTGTCTGCCATTACTGGCCAAACTTGATTAATTCAGGTGTGTCTGATTATTGTTGCTGTGACTACTGAGGTCAGGCACACCTGGATTAATCAATTTGTCCAATAATGGCAGACAGGAAACAAGGAGCTGACTTAAGTTCAGGAATTGCCTATTGTAAACACCTTTTGAAGTGATTTTATTGGACATGAATCGACAAAATTGTAATGTTGGATCCCAGCCCCTATACACCAATAAACATTGATTTAGTGGGTCCCCACAGGGTCTGGGACATAGTGTTCATGATAGTGGTTTGTCCTATAACTATTAAATCTCTTTTAAATTAGATCCATATAAATGTTTTTTTTTTATCAAAAAAATATTTAATTTAGAAACCCTTGTGTCTTTTAGGAAGCTATAGTAAAATTTCAGTTTGTGTCTCACACTGCAAGAATTCAATCATTGAAGTTGCATGACCTCTTTACAGAGTTTACCTTCCAGTAAGTTCACTATTTTTTCAACACATACATGGGTTTAATTCTCAAGAACTGATGTCTTTTGCGCATCAATGACTTACTACAGATATAATGAACAGAATAATGAACTTGACACTTTATTGCCCAAGAATGTTCAAAATCACTTTTTGAACAAGGCTATACATTTCAATACAATGTGATTTGTCTCCTCACAGATTTCTTCATCATGGCCAATCAGCCTTTACAGCTGTCACAGGAGACTTTAGCTCAGTTCAATCGCTCCCTTGCCACAGAAACAGGCACCTCAGGGCCTCCAAGAAGACGTCTGGCCTCCATCTCCACCCGCCGAAGCTCCAAAGACCAATCTAAGGACCAGCCCCACCACAGACCCCTGTTCCTCAGGGGCATGACAGGTCTCTCGTCAGAGTCATCCTTCCTAAGCCCCAACGTCAGCACTTCTCACATCTCCATCGGCAAGCGGTTCTCTTTCGCCGGCTGGCACCAGGGAGGAAGAGTGAGCTTCTCTGGACTCTACCTTCCCCAACCCATCCAAGAAGTCTATGTGGAGAACACCTACAGAATGGGACCGGAACCAGGGTGCCACTTCAGCGCCAGCAGGACCCAGCAGATATTACAGGCCACTTTGGATAGTTTTTTGGAAGGTGTGAGTTACAGTCCTGACAGTTGTAGCCAACTGTGTCAGATGTTAGCAGATCTAGTTCTCAGTAAGCTAAAAGATGTCAATCCGCCACGATATAAACTCGTGTGCCAGGTGGTGGTCGGGCAGAATGATAAACAAGGTATAAGGGTGGCCAGCTGTGGCCTGATCAACCCCAACACTGACAACTTCACATCTGCTGTTTTCCAAAATCACTCACTGTTTGCTGTGGCTATGGCACATGGTATGTATTTTGAATGAAAGTTAAATCAACATCTCTTATTTTGTGTGTACAACATGCACACCTTTAAAAATTCAAGACAAATAAATACTGGTCACATAATTGCACAAAATACAGCACTGGTCATCTGGGTTGGAATATTATGTTCTTAAAATCTTTTTGAAAGAAGTCTCGCTTGGTAAATTGGTGGCTGTGAAAATAAATCTGCATTGTTTATCCTTTTATTTCATTAGAAAAATATAGACCTCTTATCATTGAATGCTACAGTTCACTCTATTTGTGTTGATTAACTGAACGTGCTCCTCCTGAACTTTGTCAATAAAACATCATTAAATGTTTTTCTCCTATGCATGTTGGCCACAATTATTAGCACCCCTATAAATTCCAATGAGTAAAATATCTCTGAAGTATATTCCCATTCAGATTTCTTTTTTAAGCGCACCAGGGTGACTAGGAGAATGAAATTGTCCAGCAATGACTTCCTGTTCCACAAAAGTAAATATGAGGAAACACAAAGGCCAAATTCCCTTAATCGTTCATCACAATGAGTAAAACATGGGCATGGTCATGGTCTTTGAATATTTAAGCACAAAAAATACTAAATATATAACCCATTTTGTTGTTCTGCTGAGCTGCGCCGCTACTACATACTCAAGTACGCGGGACGTTGATGGTGTTTTCAGCATCTCACAAACATTTTGAGGATATGAATACATGAACATTTCCAGAGCTGCTCTGAGATAACGCATAATGAGCATTTTCATAATTTTATTTGAGAAAAACAAAACCATTGCAACACTTTTACATTTTTGGTCTTTACCACAACCGGTCAAAATAAAAGTTCGGTTTTACTTGGAGAAATTATGACAGAAATATATTACTATTCTACTTCTCAAATAATAACAATAATAATAAATTTTATTTAAACATTATTTAAAAGGAACATCTTTTTTATCCATGGTTTAATTTAATAAATCCGTTTTTGCAGCGCTTCCCCAAAAATAAAAGGACAAGTTTGAATTTACATTTGATTACCACGGTTTTTGATAATATATTTTGATTAATTCATAAAAAGAAACATTAATTTTCTGAATAAAATAAATTTCATAGGACATTACTATTCTTAAACATTTTTAAAAAATCATTACCGTTAAAATTGCAATAACTGGGTGCCAATAATTGTGGCCAACATGAAATAGAGAAACCATTTCATTAGATTTCCCGACTTTCCATTTATATATATTATTTTTCAACATTGTTTCCCTTTTAAAACTGAAAATTTAAATCAACCATGAGACGCAGAACATTTATATTTTCAATAAACTTTATTCCCCCCCACTCTCCCAATACATAAAAAGTGATCATACTGAACATTTCCCAGTGTTGACACCATACAATTATGTTACATCAATAAATAAAAAACTATAAATAAAAAAATAAATAGAACACGTGCCACAATTAATTAATAATACTAGTTAGGATTTGTCTGAGAGAGTAATGGCTTTCACAATGTTGGTATTCTAAACACATCACTTATAGCCATATGGTCACAGTTTTGAGGACATTATGATTACTTATGGAGCATGTGAAGTAAACAAAGCTGGAGGCACACTGAATACATAGTCTTTTTTCCCCCTCAAGTACAGACATTAGGGATATAATAACTTTTAAGAGCAAAAAGCTTATATCAGGTGTGTATTTGTAGTGTTTTTTTCCCACCCTCCTGCCTAATTTGCTTGGAAAACCGAATATGAAGACTATATAAAGCCCGTCTCATTCCCTTTTTGACTCAAGCTGGAGATTCAGGGCCATTATTGCACAGAGGAATCCATCAGAAAGGCACTTTAGTCACTCCCACTCCTAACTGCTCCTCCATGAATTACAGTTCCACCTCAGCTACTCACCTCTGCCATCTTTAAAACTAATCTCATTAAAAGAATAAACCATTTGGTGTCCGCAGCTCTTCTAGTTTGTGTACCATTAAGTGAAATAAAAGTCTTCAAAAAGAAAAACAAAAAGGCCAAGTGATCGAGCATAAAAACCAAGCCCATCTTGCGCAGTGCATGATGCACTGCAAGCAAAAGCAAGATGCTTTAGAACCCTGTGAGTTTTATGCCATCTGCAATTCAGTTCAGTCTAGCTAAAAATCAATATAATAAAATGAACGGGCTCAAATTTTGGTCGTGCACACTGTGAGTCAAGCTGGTAGTGTGATACTGTTGGTGGTGTAGGCTCAGTTGCAAAAAAAAAAAAAAAAGAATAGTGCACCATAGTTCAAAGAGGCCAGTCGATGACCAAGGACAGGAGATCTTCGTGGCAACGAGGAAGCTTCCCCTGATTTTCTTTGTCAGTCCTTTTTTGCTTCCCAAACTGAAGCGGTAAGCAGCAAATCGTAATACGAAGCAGAACAGCGGTTCCGCGGGGTTCATCATGCCTTGGTGTAGTGCTGGAGAAGCTGCACCACGTAATGAAGCCTCTGCCGGAGCTCCGGAGAGCAGCCCCACTCGGATAGCATGTTCAGAGGGTAGGAATAAGAGACGCGCTCCTTGCTGATGTACGTCAGCAGGTACAAAGAGTCCGAGGTCTTGCTCAGGATTATCTTCGTGTGGTCCGTGTAAAAGTTAACCTGGGAAAGAGAGCAGAAGCAGAGGGAAACGTTATGAACTGCATCGGCCAAGCAAGGTCAGTGGCCAAACGGTCAATGTTTCATCTGTCGTTCCTGCACAATCAGAGACTCACCTGTAGGGTTCGGTTGTCAAAAAGCATGACTAAGGCGTGATCAGTCTTGATCCACTGCAGCAGTAATGGAGAAGAGCTTGGAGGTGGCTGGTTCTCATCATTGACATCTCCACCCTACAAAAATTAAAACTTGGTTTAAAACTTTATATAAATAGCTTTATTTTATACAGACTCATGATTTATAAGCGATTTAAAATAGGATTTAAAGCTACACTGTGTGATTTTTACCCCCATCTAGTGGTGAAAAGGTATACGACCATCCAGTGAATATTAGTTTCTGTTCCCCTCAATTCCGATTTCGTTTTAACTCCTACTGTGGCCAATGTAGTTCAAGATTAACATGGCTTCCAGTTCGACCTCGTCCATGAGCGTTAACTCAAACGTAAACGCGAAAGGTGAAGCTTGAATTAACGGTATGTCCCTCTTTGGTTAATATACTTTCAAGATGGAGGGGCAACATGGCGACCGACATTAGAACCCCTTACCCGTATGTATTTTCAATGGCATATTATACACTCACGAGAATACTTTATTACTTGAACGAAGTAAATATACATTAATGAGCACACATATTTTTGAAAGAACTAAGTGTTTTTAGTAGGGCTGTCAAACGATTAATCGCGATTAATCGCTTTCAAAATAAAAGTTTGTGTTTACATAATATATGTGGGTGCACTGTGTATAATTATTTTATATATATAAATACATGCATATGCTTGTATATATTTAAGAAATATTTTCATGTATATACTGTGTATAGATTTACATATAATTTATATTATATATAAATATAAATATTTTATATATAAATATTTTTTTCTTAAATATACATGCATGTGTGTGTATTTATATATATATACAAAATAATTATACACAGTGCACCCAAGTATATTATGTAAACACAAACTTTTATTTTGAAAGCGATTAATCGCGATTAATCGTTTGACAGCCCTAGTTTTTAGCTAAGAATAAACTAAAATAATTACACAGTGTAGCTTTAAAATAAGACAATAATCATTTAAATATTATTATCTAAGCTTACTAATGTTTAAATTATGAACTAATTTATGGACTTACCTCCATAAGATTCTGCTCCATGTAGTTAGCCATCAAATCCACTATGTGTTTTTGGCTCTGGAGCTTCTCTGGTAAAGCATCAGCAGGGAAGCTGAAGTGTTTGTTGTTTGTCAGACAGTAATGTACAGTCCTGCAAAAAAATAAAAAAATAAAGGAGAATTAGAATCACAAATAAAAAGTAAAGGGTTTGTAAAGGGTAAAGCACTCTATGTGGGTCAATCAGAGCTCAGTCCAAAATGCCAAACTGGAGACTCATTAGAGAACAGAAAGCAAGCTGACGTACCTCCGCTGGTCACACAGGCTCAGATGAGTGCCTTCGTTGAAGAGTACGCCGACGTTTTGATTGGAGAGTTGGTAGCCGAAGCCGTATTTGTTGGAGTAGTCGACCCACTTGGTTACCCAGATAAAAGGCTTGGTTTTAGAAAGGCAGGGAGGGTTTTTTGAAGCTGGAAGAGGGAAGGACAATATTTGAGTACATGATCAATGGCCTAAGAGTAAACCTTGAAAATGGCCATCGCTTAAGCACCTCGGTGTGAACAGAGTGTGGGAACAAACCTGTTGGCATGGAAGACAAGCAGCTGTTAAGAACCTTCATGGCAGATTCGGCTACAGCAGCAGGGGTCGGGATATCGTCACAAGCTGAGGGGAAAAAGGAAATCATTTTTTATAAAAACGTGTATTATTTTTATAAATCATTTTTTTTTTTTTTCAAACATTTCATGTTTTTGAAAGTCATCTCTAAAATTCTCCAAGGCTGCAACTATTTGATTAAATAAAATAAAAACATTAATATTGTGAAATATTACTACAATTCAAAATAAGAGTTCTTTTTCAAATGTATTTAAATGCAAATGTGATGGCAAAACTAAATTTTCAGCATCATTACTCGATGTTGAAAAACAGTTGTGCTGCGTAATGCCTGTGGAAATTGTGATCATTTATTTTAGGATTTTTTTTAAGAATAGGAAGTTCACCTGACCCTAAACCTTTGATTGGTAGTATAAATATAAAAAGAGAGGTGTAACTAAAGTGCCAGCCAAATATATGTAGTAGAAGTAGATGTTTTTAGACAAACTTGTTTTGTGCCTCTGAAAGCCTGAGGGGTTAAGTCTATATAAAATTGGCCTCACACATGCACATCCAAAACTATTTACTGCTGTATGTCTGAGCAAATCAGCCGCTACGGTCCCTTACCATCAGTGCTGCTGGCGACGGTCCCTTTGAAGGAGCGCGATGCAGACTTCCGGGATTCCTCCTCGGCCGGGGTGTCCAGAGGGCCAGAGCTTGCCAGTTGGACCGTGGGAGTAGTGGCCTAAGAGGAAGTCACAATGTTTTTACAATCATAAGTACTTCCTTGTACTCCGTTGTAAGCAATTATCATGCACAGTGGACACTCATTTTCCAATCTCGTGTTTCAAGCTTAAAATATCTTTGTCATGTGATTAATATGTGGGTTTGGTCAGTCTGGAGTTATTCTGAGACATAAAGCACAATAGTTGGACTACTGCACTCATTCATCTACAGTAGCTTTCAAAACACATCCCCACAGAGCCAACTAAAGCTATGGTGCAAAACTGCATGCACGCTAAAGCAGCTTTCTAGTCATGAGTCAGCCGCGGAGCGGAGACGCTATTAATACGCACATAACTGTCACACGCATTACCTCGTTCACTCCCATTGTCTTGTAGCTCATCTGCCGACCGATGGAGTGTTTCACCATGCCTGACACCAGTTTAGAAATGTCATCTTTCTCCTCACAAGGGGT